CCCCAAAACCCCAAAACCCCAAAACCCCAAAACCCCAAAACCCCAAAACCCCTTAATAATTTTTTATTTTTGAATAATAAAAAATATGCTTTCTGAAGACAGCATTGAAAACTTAAAGTCCTTCTTTATAGCAACAGCTGATCATGAGCTTGCTATCGAGAAGCAGAGACAGTACCTCGCTAGGCTAGGATGTACAGATGGTAAGCCCTCCTCAACTAATTTTAGGAAGCCAAGAAGTCGCAGATGGAGAATTTGAGCCATATGCAACCTTTGTTAGGTTAGATAGAGAAAATAAAGGCTATTTGAGCCCAAAAGACTTTTACAATTTCATGCAAGAAAATGGATTTGATCATGTAACTATGAAGGACTGACAATACTTAGTAAAATACTTTGATTCTGATGAAGATGGGGTCTTGAACTATACTGACTATATGCAATTGGTGATTACTTGTGATGATACATACTTGAGAGCTGTAGTTACTCAAAGAGATCCTTATGGGGTAAATCCTGATGAATACCTCTCACCCATACTTGAAAGAGAACTAGCTATCTTGTTCGAGAAGGAATTTGCATACCATCGAGAAATTTCAATAATTTGATCCAGAACTAAGGAAACTCCTGGGTTTTCGTATGATAAGGCCTTCATAGAGATATGAAACTACGGGTATTCAGATGAAGATGGCTATGAATCCATCGACCACACTAGCATTGATAATTTCCTTAGGAAAAATGGCTTCGCCTCAACAGAGGAAGAGCTCACAGCTATAGTAAGAAGGATAGATGTCTCTGCAGATGGAAGATGCTCGTATAATGAATTTGAAGAGTCGTTGAAACCTGTAGTGTTAGGTACATATTTTCTAACGTATTTCCAGCTGAATTTCAAATTTATCTACTGTGTTCTGGAGAGTTCTGTAGGAGTTAGCCGAATGGATAAGATTTTTGGTTTCATTTAGCTCTAATAATAGGTAGAATAAGAACTTCTTTCTCATATGTATCTTTTGTCTAAATTATAGTTTTATTCAGGTTCACCATCTTACAATTCTTTAGATGAACCATCGGAGTACGAATCTGCTCCAAAATTATCAAATCCAAGCAGGGTAAAAATTGAAAACCTGAGGGCAGGTGGTTATATGTTCCCAGCAGAGACATCACATGATAGTAGGGGAAAAGAAAGTACTTATGCATTCAAAGACTCAAACTTGTAAGTCCTTATTTTACTCCTAGTTCCAAGAAATATCTTCCAGAAGAACTACCAATCTCGAGCAGTTATTATAAGAATAGGTTTAGTGACTAAAATCCATAATTTTCAGTAATTTAATTCTGGAATGGGGTTTTGGGGTTTTGGGGTTTTGGGGTTTTGGGGTTTTGGGGTTTTGGGGTTTTGGGG